TTTTTAATATAAAATGATTAACAAAGCAAAATACAGTATCATAGAAGTCAAGTAACATTAAATGATTCCCTAGTCATAGATCTTTATTCTATAGGAAAGCTATTGCTGAAATAATTGTGAGCTGCACTGTGCTTGCAGACACTTCCTTGTGTTACTGTCAGGTTTCCTGTTCCACTTGATTTAAAAAAATTAAGCTATTTCATTTTTTTTTAAAGTGAATGAAGCAACTAGCTTTCCGCAGAGCAAACTGCAGAGAATCCAGCACTTTCTTTTCCCAACAGTACTTTTGCCAAGAAGCACTGTGGAACAAAAAATATTCTTTAAAAGTAAAGATTACATGTGACTAGCCCAATGCTTTGTTTGGCAATGTGCCCATTTCTAAAGTGTGCTTAGAAAAAAATAATATGTGTGCTAAGTCCAAAAAGGCATACACATCTATGAAAGAACCCAAAGCATCTTCTCAAAATGTCAGATATATGCATCTGGCCAGAAAAGGACACCTGGCCAGAAAAGGACACATAGCCAATCTCATGCTTTTTATACACATTAGTTTAAATGAATACACATTTATACATTGTTTTTGAATGAAACACATTAAAAGATTGAACATACTGTACAATATTGAACATATAACATTTACAATATAAACTTTTATTTAAGGCAGAGATATTTATACAACAAAACGAGGATCATTCCTGTTTAAACCAAGATCATGACAAGTATAGATTCCTACTTAAAATGGGAGGAGGTTGTAAAATTAAAGAACCCTTCTCTTGCTGAAATTTATAGGTTGTAAAATCAAAAAGCAATTATCCTTCATTGTAGATTTCAAACTAGCCAACAGATTAAAACTTCCTTATCAATTTGCAACAGTGGTATTTGAGATGCAGGATAAAAGTTCAATACTCAATTAAATAATAATGGTAAAATTCACATGGGTGGTTTCATTTGAGCTCCTGGATCTGGAGCACAAAGACCTAATCAACACTGGATAATGGCAAAAAGTAAATCAGCTTTTGATGCCATCTCATGGTTATCCAGATTTTTGGCAGCACAATCTGGTAATCCTAATTTCATTACAGATGTGAAACAAATCAAGGCATCTTAAACCATTCAAAAATTAATCTCTTGAGAATGATTGTTCTATTATCTTGAACACTATTTTTAACTAAATGGCAATAATATTTGAACACTATCACTAGTGTCCACTTTTCCTGAAATGGAAATAAGAGATTCCTACCAGCTAAATATAGCACAATATGCCACATAACATCTCATTCAACAATTGCAACCCCAGCTCCCTGTTGCAATTGTTAGGCAACTGCATTAGTTGTTGCACAGATAGAACAAAAGAGCTGTCTGCCTAAGGAAAGGCACGCAGCACCCCTCTGTGAACAGAAGGGAATTGCAGCATTATCTCCAGACTTATGCATAGAAAGGTATTAAAATTAGATATTAAAAGGTATTAAAATTCAACAAAGCTAAATATAATATTAGAAAGCTAGACAGTGTCTATTGATATTTCTATTAAGTCTGATTTGTCACAAATATGATACATGTTGTATCTAATAAGAATGGCATAAATAAAATTTTATAATTCCTATTATTTAACTTGTAATATACTGGTGGGCACAGAGTATTTATGAAACATAAATGTTATCTGGCATAAGCCTCCTAGCAGGTGCAATATATACAAGAGTGTGGTGGTTTTCAAGGTAGATTCTGTAGAAGAGATGCCATACAGAGTGTGAGCATACTTGAAGTTAAGCTGTGCCTCGATTGCTATTGTGGCATATGTGCCAAAGTGTACCCAGATTGATTATCACCAGGGCTTTTTTTGTCATAGAATGCACCGGAACAGAGTTCCGGCACCTTTTTTCAACGGATTTTCCAGAGTTGCATTCTTTTCCTATTGTTTCCCTTCCTATTCTCGTTTGTTTTTGAAAATGCCCCGCTGGCGGTACGGTACGAGCAGGGTCCCTTCCGGCACTGTCTGCCTCCTCTAGGAGGAGCCATGAGGTGCTGGAGCACCACAGACAGAGCGTAGCTTGATTGGCTGGGTCAGACCATGTGGTGTGGAAGCCGATGGTGGCGGTGGGAGACAGATAAACAAGGAGGCCATCTTTCACGAGAGGGTGAGTGAGCCTTTTGTCTTCCCTTACAGAAGGTGAGGTGTGAGGTTAAAAAGAGGCGAAGCAAGAGGAAAGAAAGGCGGCTGGCATGGAAGCTTGCCCGACAGCGAAACTTTGCTGTTTCAGTTCCTTGGGTAGTTCAAAGGCTGGGATGTCTACAAAAATCTGTTTTTAGTCTTTTATACTTTATATTCAAACTGCTGAGGGGAAGAATAAGAATAAAGCCAATGTCTTGTGATTCGGAGGTATTATTATTAATAATAATATATATTAATTATGTATTGGTCAGATGTAAAGGTAGACTTACAATATGAGGTTTAATCAGATCTACTTATTAAATTGGGTTTAACTTGAAGGTAAATTAAAAGTAATTTGTTCACTGACAAAGTTTCAACCTTAATTTGTTTCAAGTCAATATCCATATTAAACTTCAAATGTAAATTTTTCCACCTTATTTGACCACTTCTTAAAAATAATTCAATCTTTTACAAGCAACCAAATTTTGTTTTATTGGGCCAATTTCATTCCACATAGAAAGCTGACATTTCCACTCATTAAACTAAATGGGCATGCCAGTGGTAAATGTCCCAAAATATTAATAAAATGCCTTCTTGTAATTTAAAGCCACATAGTGCATGGTAACATTAATAGTATTAACTTACCTTGAACAAAATCCTAGTCTTTTAGATACACTAAAAACTGAAGGGGTTTTTTTCAACTACAAAGGTAAGCCTTTTAGGGTAGGAAAGGCAGGTTGTATGGTATCTGAGTTCTGGCACCTTTTTTTTTTTTTTTTTACAAAAAAAAGAGCTGATTATCACTATCCTTTCTATTAGCATGAAATGCTACATAAACAGAGAATTTTATTATAGTCACTGACCAGAATAGAATACAGTATTGTATACAGTTATGTCTAAGTCCAGTAACTTACTTTATATCTTTTCTTTGGAGAATAAAATGAATTTATAAATGAAATTGAAAAAAACTAAAGTGAAAGAATAACTACAGGAAGAGAAAAATATTAGAAAATAGATAAATCCTCCAACAGAATGAAAGGAAAATGGATGTAAGGCAAAAATATATAAGCATCGCTTGTATCTAAATAAAAAGCATTATTTTACAGTATGCTATAGAAGTATGTGGAACTGTTATTTTATTTTATATTTTCTTATATTTTCTTGTTATATTTTCTTTCTATCCAGATCAATGAATACAGAATAAGATCAAGCCTTCCTTGTCTTTTAAGTAAAAAAAAAACTATCCAGAAAAAATTATATGAAATCACATTGTGCTTTGACATCTTTATAATTTCCCCATCATACTGCTCAAACTATCCTATTACTGTTCAATATTTTCTGAACACTTTCCTACCAAGCACTTTTATAGTCTAACCTATATGGGAATTTATTATAAAATATGTTATTTTGTTCTGTCCAGATAAGCCAGTTACTTCAGAACCAATATTTCTATGGAGCTTTATAAATTAATTCATAAATATGGAGAGTTGGAAATTTGGAGGTAGTAACTGAACTATGTATTAGGATTAAGTTCTGAGCATATTCTACTAGTTCAATATATACTTCCTTTATGGATTTGTTCAATTATCTGATTACCTAAATACTGCAAAGGCTTTCCTGTCATTTTTTCCTCTAAAAAGTCTTGAGAAGCAAAGGGCTAATGAAGATTTTTATATTCTACTTATTTTTACCTAGTAATTTTGTTACAAATTTATATACATTTTATTAAAAAAAACCTCTCTAACAGAAAACATTTCTTGATTAATATGTCTTTTAAAGGCTTTATGTTGGTGAGATGTGTACAAATAAAAATCTTTTTATTGTTTTCAGTTCATCTGAAACCTATCAATCTACGTTTCAGATCAGAGCTTGCAAAATGCACTAGAATTAAAAACAAGGGATTTATAAAAGTCTGCTTTTTAAAGAAGGATATAAGACATATAATAAGAAAAAAGATGAAATTGGAAGTTGCACTCACCAGTACAGTCTCCATTGGCATCCTGCTTATATCCCATATTGCATTCACATCGGTAACTGGATATTGTTGGGATGCAGCGCCCATTTAAGCATAAATTTGGATGATGTTTACAGATATCTATTGTCTGATTGAGTATAGCTATGAAAAGATGTGAGATCAGAAGTCTGGTTATTACCTCTAAAGTTCTTTATTTTAAAAAGTACCTTTATTTTAATATTAAATAAAAAAAATATTTAAGCTATTTGAAATCAGCTACATTGGTGGAATCTGTCTTAGAATGGAATGGAGGAAGATGCTGGAAACGTTTCAAATTAAACTTGATCAGACAAGTGTTTCAAACAGCTCAGCCAGGGTTATGGTTACTTATTTCAGAAATTATTTTTGATGAAAATGGTATTTCCTCATGAAAGCAAGTGGTATTCTCACAATCCTATAGGGCAGGGGTAGGCAACCTTGGCTCTTTTATGACTCATGAACTTCAACTCCCAGAATTCCTGAGCCAGCATGGCTGGCTCAGGAATTCTGGGAGTTAATCCACGAGTCATAAAAGAGCCAAGGTTGCCTACACCTGCTATAGGGGATTCCATTTCTTCATGTTAAGGAGGCTCCATTTCTCTTAAAAATGGAGGCTTCCAAAGGATTTCAAGAAAACCACCTGCTTGCAGAATAATGGGAGCCTACCACATGGCTGCCTCTGTAGGAAAGCCGAGCTTCCCAACTGCTGGGTGCCTCTCTCAGAAGTTGCAAAAAAAGAAAGATCAGTTGAGTGCTGCTGAATCCTGAAGCTAGCTGAAGAAGAGGCTAAGTCCTGCAAGGCCATAAGTGGCTGAGTGGCTGAGTAGGAAACAAGCCCAAGGCCTGCAAGCTTCAACAGCCTCGTACACATCAGTAGCCTCTGCAAATGGTTTGAAGTGGCTAGCTTGGGAGCAAGGAAATGGCCTGCAGGAATCCAATGGGCCATGAGGGGTGAAGGAGATAGATGGGGACAGCTCTGCAACATTTCTGCAGTCAGTCGTAAGGGTGAATGACAGTGGGGAACTGCAGTGGCCATATCTTTGAAACCAGGACATAAGCAGATTGGGCAGCCCTATCCTAACTTTGGTCACTAAGTGACTGCTCATACATCCATATTTTCCTATTGGTTTTTACTTGGTTTCTTCCCTTAATTTAAGCAGAATTGCAGATTTCTCTCGCATAATATTGAGATTCGTCAATTTTCATTCCTTGTACCACAATGAAGAAATTTAGAGTTTTGGAAATGGAAATCAGGTTCCAGTAGCATCCACCAGTGGGGACTGATGAACACAACACTGCAATGCAAGTGTTATCTGTGTTTTCCCAGATGCCCAAAAGAGGTACCACTTTCATTGGGATACTTCTTTCATCAATCAAAGGAAAGCAGCTAGAGAGTGTGGATGCCACTACCAGGTTCTGTTCCTTATCAAGAAGAAAATGGAAAGAGAGCCCATAGTGCATGAAAATATGGAAAGACCAAGAAATTAGATAGAATATATAATAAATTTGAAATTTTACATAAGATTAAATTACTCCTTGGTTATGCGTATAAGCTTAAAATGTAAGAAGAATTTTTAAAAAATTGAGGAAGCATAATACTGCACATACTGAATGGCTCATAAGTGCAATTGGAGTATGCTGGAAATGTAATGCAACTTGAGAAGCAATGGGGTGAATTGTTAGCAGTACAGTATTTTACTGTAGACATAAAATAACTTATTAGTTTTAAGGATGAAGTAGAAAAGGAGCTTTAAAAATATTTACTATAAGAGCCTTCAGTTTCATAATTATGCAATCAAGCAACTTACTCAGTCCCGTAATGACGGGGCCATTTCCTGTGGGACCTTGGCCACCGGTCCCTATTCCAGTTCCATGCACACCTGGGGAAAATCCATTTCCACCAGGAATAGGGATGAATCCTGTTCCTCTTGGGCCAAAGCCGTTTCCTCCTGTGCCACCAGGCCTGGAACCACCTATAACAGGAATGCCATCTATGCAAAGCCCACGATATTCATCTACAAAAAATAAAAACAATATTTATAATCATATTTTTCCAAAAGATGCAAAGCTTATGATCACATATCTTTCAAACTGCACTGATTTGAAAAACAGCATTTTACTATAAGAGTTACTATTCTTCACATATAAAACTTAGTAACTATTGAGTAGATCTAGTGTAAAATTATTGTACATTTTATTAGTTCACAGTTTAGTTCTAATTATTATGATAAATATTGGTGATAATTGAACATTTAGATAAAATTTAAGTCACCTGCAATATAATCACATTCTAAGACAGACATGTCAAACACAAGGCCCGGGGGCTGGATGCGGCCTGCAAAGTGGTTTCATGTGGCCCGCGAAGCCATCCTGGAAACAGTGAGGGAACGGCCCCCGCTGCCTTGGCCCTGGCCCAGGCCAGCCGGGAGCCAATGTACAATTTTGTGGTGGCCATCTATGTTGAAACGCATTCAGTCTTAGCTCCACAAGGCCGTCTGGAAACAGCGAGGAACCAGCCCCTGCTGCGTCGACCCCGCCCCTGGGTGCATGCTGGGGAGGTGTCACCCTTTGTGAGGAATGAAGAAATGGACCATGCCTTGGTCCTTGCCCGGTCCCACCCCCTTCTGCCAGAGACCCTCACATCTGTCCCATGCCTGCCCAGGCCTCCACAGGCATCCTTGACGCGAACAATGAAGAGCTGGCCATGCCCACCCAGTAAGCCACACCCAATCCACGCCCACCCAGTAGGCCACACCCACCCTGGCTGCCCCCCCCTCCGAGGGCAACCACAATGCTGATCCGGCCCTCAATGAAATTGAGTTTGGCACCCCTGTTCTAAGACAACATTTCTCAGGAAGTGATGTAGGCTTTTAGTAAGGAAAAGATTATTCTAATCAAAATAAATGAAATAACCAAAAGAAACAATCAAAGCTAGTAGAAATCTGCTTAATAGATGCAGATAATAGAGGCAACATTAAAACAAAGAATAACTCTGAATTATTTCCCAAATCAATATTCTCCATCAGCCACTACAAATGTTGTCTTATTTAGCAAGTCAATGAGCTACTAACCAAAGATGCTGTATTTCAATTATCATAAAGGGAAAGAAGGACCTATATACAGAACAACTCTTGCATATATAGTGCAATGTAGGAAATTATCATTTTTCTATTCGGACAAGCAGTTCATATACATACATTTTCTTGCTGCGTTTTATTTCAGAAACATTCTACAGATTGAAGCTTTCTGTATGTAACCTCACCCTTCAAAGATCCCACAGAATGAATACATAAAAATTTGTTATTGTTTTAATTTAACAATCTAATGAAATGAAAGTTGCTTCATTAAATTCAAATGAATAATACAATAATTCCTTCAAATAAACTTTGTTTTGATGAATTATTTCAAATTACCAATAGGAAAAATGGGCTCAGTCAATAACAAATCAGAAGCAGTGGGGCATAACTTGATAAATAAACTTTAAAGTAAGCCTTTTCATTGTTTCAGGATTGATATTAAAATGAGTTTTTCTAGTAATTTTAACACACTAAGATATTTACCAGAGCCTCTAACAGGACACATTTCTGGAATGGATCCAAGAGCCCAACACCGTCCAGACTCGCAGCAGCACTGCATCTTGGTAAACCTGCTCGGAAGCTCTTGTGCACAGCGACCATTCAGCAGACTGGAGAAACAAGTACCTGCTCTTTGATCTGGATATTAATTTTTAAAAATTATTAATGAAGCACTTAATAAAAATATTTTCTTAACCATTAGAAATATAAATATAATCAGTGAAACAGTCGTACTGTGTTTCCCCCAAAATAAGACCTGGTCTTTTTTTTTTTTTTTTTTTTGCCTGCAAAAGAGGCACAAGGTCTTATTTTCCAGGGGGGGGGGTGTCTTTTCCACTCACCTCCAGCACTGACAGCCACACCCAGCCGGCCCACTTCTTCTGCAGTCGAAGGAGCAGCTTCATTCTGCAGCTCAAAATGGAGCTCCCTCCTGCATTTTGTAGTCAGAGGCCTATCTGGAAGGCCTCTGCAGCCAATAACCAAGCAATGGATTGAATCCATAGCTTGGTTCTCAACTGCATAGGCTTTGCAGAACCAAGCTATGGATTGAATTCATAGCTCAGTTCCCAGCTGCAGTGGGCCTTCCGAAAAGGCTTCTGACTGCGAAATGCAGACCTGGGGATGCTGCAGAAGAAGTGGACCAGCGAGGAGAGGCCTGGCAATTATAAAGTCAATTATAAATACAAATCCTCCCCTTTTCCTCCAAAACCAACACAATACTTTAAAAACTAACTAAAACCATTAAATGTATTTATTTATTTTTCAAATTTATATAGCTATCAATCTCCAAAAACAAACAACTTAAAAAACAATAGTTCATAAATAACAAAAAACAATAACTATTATTATTAAAACTTTAAAAACTAATGGATACTAGTTAAAATGGTGACTAGACTAAAATATGCTGCAACTTAACAATTGAGACTTCAACCATCTGGACTCAAAGGGATGAGGAAATTACTGTAAGCTGTCAGAATAACCTAGTGTTAGCTAGGGAATTCTGGGAGTTGAAGACAGGAATCTTAAAGCTGTCACAGTGAAAAATATTAGAATAGCCATTAGCAAATTAGCCACATTTTATAAATTACTGATTTGTGAAAAGTGTCATGGGTTTAAATTGGCAAGTCTTTAGGGGGGGAAATGAACCCGGTCAGAACAGAACATGCATATGCCTAGAGTAAAAAAAAAAAATCATCAATTTTTACCCTCTCACTTTTTATAAATTGATTCTTCACCCAATACATTTATCCTCTTCTGTCTTATTCAGATTTAGATCACAATTTAATCTGAACTTTGTGAATGAAAATCAATGAAGGATGAGGCAGGTGCCATAGACTTATTTTCAATCAAGAAAACTATTTAAAGAATTACATATTCAGATCTTTACTTTAAAGAGACATATGAATGCATCTCCATAATATTTTTAACTAATTATCTTTTAGTAATTTGCATGCTAATATACTTTTATTTTGAATTTAATTGACTTAGACTATCAAGTTTATCAGCTGGATTTTTCCAGGAATTGTGTGACTAGAAGTTAATTCAGGGTTGTGAATTTGCTACTTTGTATTTGTATCTAGAAGTTCACTTGGTTGGATTAGCAGGCATCTCAAATAGAAAGTCTGGGGCACCCTTCCACAAGGTTTTTGTACATAAACATTTGCTTGGGATAAATAATTCAAATGTGCCTTCTAGGCTCCCAGTGAAACCATGATGAATGTGGCCAGAAAGTGTATCTTTATTGTTCAGCAGAAATGACAACCATATAAGATAGACTGCAGTGTCTGAGGAATAGTACCATAGAGTAGTGCCTCAGAATTTAGTCTCAGAGTTTCTGTTCCCTCTTGAAGAATATCCTTTCAGAAGAGAAGCTTTGGATTTTGTCTCTTAACCTCCACAATATCTGTTCATGATGGATACTTGTTTACATTCACAGAATTTCTGCTTTTAATGCAGAAAATCTCACCATATTATACTTAAGACTTTGAGCTACTGCTGAATTGGTTTTCAGATACAGGGTCAAGAGGTCAAAATGATCTCTTATTAAAAAAAAAGGTGTAGAAAAAAGCAAAAGTGCATAAGACCATAACCTTTCCTCTTCCCAAAATAATTGGGAACACAATACCATATGATACAATGTTTTCTGAACAAGATCTTCAGAATCAGGTAACTGCAGAATAGGGCAAAGAAGAGAAAGTTACTCCAGAAACTTGTAACAAAATAAAATGAAAATGAAAAATCCATAGAAAGAATAGTAAAAAATTTTACTTTTGGATATGGTAACTTACCAATGCAATGAGAGCCATCTGTGGATGTCAGAAAGCCACGTGGACAAAGACAAATATAACTTCCAACAGTATTGGAACATTCACCAGTATCACAGATTCCTGGGATGAGACTGCATTCATTAATATCTAGAGATTTAAACAAATGAAGAATGATTCTCTACGAAATATAATTATTTTAAAGATATTTTAACATGTATTAAATATGATATCCATGAATGCACTATCTTGGGCTCTATATGCAAGCTGGAATTCTGATTATTTGATGTATATCTACAAATATTGAATTCTCCTGCACAGCTGATTTCTAGAATTAATATTAGCAAGCATATTTAAAAATATAGCAAGTAATGGAGCATACTCAATAGAGTATAGGACAGTGATGGCAAACCTTTTAGAGACTGAGTGCCCAAACTGCAACCCAAAACCCACTTATGCATCGTCGAGTGCTGGGTGGGTGTGGCCCATTGGCTGGGTGTGGCCAATTGGGTGGGCGTGGCTCATTGGGTGGGCATGGCTGCGGTGGTAACGGCAGACTGGGTGGGACTAAAAAGTTCAATCAATCAATTCCAACTTTGCAAGATCTTTTTTTTCCCCCGCAAGAAGTTGAAATTGACTGATTGAACCTTTCTTTTTTTTTTTGCACATGGTGGAGGAGGCCTAAAGAAAAAAGGTTTTATAAAACCCAGTTGAAGGCCTAGGACTGGGGTGACAGCGCGCGTGCCCACAAAGAGGGCTCTGAGTGCCGCCTCTGGCACCCGTGCCATAGGTTCGCCACCACTGGTATAGGAAATCCAATGCAATTTGTGGTCTGCAACTGTAACCAAATGTCATTATACTATAGAATATTTATATAAGGTAAAACTAAAGTGTGTGTATGGGGGGAGACAAGACACTTTTTTAACATGAAAATGGATATTAAATCTCATCAACAAAAAGTGCACCTCATCTATGTAAAAATTCTACACTGATATAAAATATCTCTACAGGCATGGGGGGAGGGAAGTCTGTCTTCTTTCACAAAAAACTAAAACACGGTGTTTTGTTTCATCAGCCAAGTGTAAAAACAACAATGTGGTTGCAATTTTTAAAAGACAAGGAGGCATAATTCAGCTAAGAGGCTCAAAACACCATAGCTTTCTTAAAAATAATGCCTTCAATGTATTTATATTTTTTATCCTCTATGTTTTAAAAGATTTTCAGACTACAGAAATCTCAGTTATATATCAAAAAGAATAAAGTAAAAAAGAAAAGGGAATGTAGTGAAAATCTGTCAAGAAAGAAGAATTATCTATGAATCTCAGAACAGAGATTCATACCAAATTCCTAACAGCATTTTAAACACGGAAATTTTCCTAAGAAAGTATATCAGGGTAGCTGTTAGATTCATATCACATTGTGTTAGCTATATCACTCCAATAAAGCACCACACATTTTGAAAGTGTAGGTCATTACTCAGAAGGGACCAGTGTTAGAGAGGATGCTTTTGTGTAACACAAGCTAAGGACTTGTTACTGTTACATGTTTCTGTGGCTGTCAAATCTTGTGTTGAACAGCCATTTTTAATACTATTACCTATATACAGAAAATGATACCTGCATAGAATTTTCTGGAAATTTAGATTCTTCCTTTGGGGGGGGACAGTCATGCTGGATACTATAAATATGTCGGTTTCAAACATATTATTTTTCTGATGAGGGGGACGTCTTGTTTGTGATCGAGCTAATCAAGTAAATATTTCAGATCTCTCTAATTACTCCTTTTTTTTCTTACACTCAGTATTGTACAATATGTATATGTTCCACTCAGCAGTACAGTGTATACAGCACCTTATCCCTGTGCCCAAATTAATAGGACAGTACACATTTCTTTAAATTATTACATCATATTGAAAGCATATCCATACTTTTTTGTAAGATCCAGAACTTATGTCCAAGATCACTTCAGGTAATAAAGCAGATAATCACATTTCTTTGATTTCAGTTATGTTCATTTTGAATACAAAAAATGGTAATGGAGTATGATGAAAGCATATATTTAAAGCATGTTTCACAATTATTTGAGGCCAAGTAGGAATAACAGTTTTTCTATCCTCATCCCATCCCAATATGCAATTTATAGGAAGGTAGAGGACTACCATACTTCAATGTATCATAATGCTCAGAACTCTAGTATTACTAGTATATCATTTCTAAAGCAATAATACTAAAGAAAACCTCACATTATAAATCATGAACATAAATTTATTAAATCTAATCATTACATCTCCATTATAGGAGATAAGGAGTAAGTACATTCTATATAAGTTGTAAAAATAGCCATGAATTTGAAGTTCACGTCAGAAACAAAGATTTCAATAAAATAGTGGATGTCCCACTCCAAATTTTGACCCCACTATCCAAATTACGTTTCCTTATGTTTTGAAAATTGCAGCCACCCTTATGCATTTAAACAATCTAGTGCCATACATGCATTGTTGCTTTGGTAGCTGGATGATGAAAGGCAACACCAAGCAGCTGTACAATTTGGAAATGTAGCTGAGAAAACAATATTTAATATTTCTGCAATAAAAACTGCTTTTATTTCCTTCTTCGGGAAGTATGTACAATCCTGAGCACACTATTGAATCAATGAAAGGATTCCATGAGAGTAAAAGTATAGAGTCTTGTCCTCCATCCCAATCTTATTCTTTTTAAGATAATATATATATTTCTATTATTTTGCTTCTTTGAAAATGAGAAAAATCATATAATTAGCCAGTAAGTTAACATGGGAGGTAGAGTTCAGGAGGGAATATTGTTTTACTTAACAGTATTTTTGAACCACCAGTAAACATAGTATCAAATACACTTAAGAATTTTAAACTTTAAAACAATAAATTAGAAAAACAAAAAGAAATAAAGAAATTGTAATCTTTAATAAAAAATACAATAAAACAATAAATTAAATAACTGAAACATCTATACATCTATAAAAATTAATAAGGAGAAATTCTTAAAAATGGTGTTCATATATTTAACATCATTTAAAGATTAAACTCTTTATAAAATAAAGCATGCAAAGGATGTAAAACCAAAGAAGAACCTTGCTTCATGTTCTCATAAGCCTAGCCTCCTTAATGGCAGAATATATAGAAGAATGCGCAATACAGATCTAATTTAAGGCAATTCAAACGGAAGACTGCTTCAATAGTTAATTACAGTCCATTAATAGATGAAAATAAAATCTGAATTATAAATATGTAGAAAGTATATTTAAAGAAACTTCAGACAAACATGCCTTACTAGATTCAGTTTTTAAATTTTACACTTCTCTCTTTCAAAGGTTGCAGTGTTCACTTAAAATGCATGATGTATAAATAGTAAATCCATTAGCTACACTAGAAGTGGCCCCTAGCAGATGGTATGATTTTTCTACATCTCTACAGTACCTCCAAAGTAAATGTATATGGAACTATTTATTAAAGATTAACAAAGATACAGAAACCTCTTCATGGAAAAAACATAGTGGTGTCATTGTTCTAAGTTCTAACAAGGCCAGGGATGTAAGAACTGATATTTAAGGACCAGACATCAAAAACAGGAGTAGACACAGCTATAAAACTGATTGCCAATTCCCAGCTATGGAATAAGTTAATAAAAAGCCAGCCTGCCAGGAAAAACAGTTTTCCTCCTTGTAAGTAAGTAAGTAAGGAGGAAAGGCAGGAATATAAGTAAGAATGCATCTTTTTGCTAAAATACTATCATGGAATAAGTATCTAATAAATAATTCCAGCAATAAAGCAGAACAATTTTTCAGATGTATACAAATTAATACATATTACTTTTTACTATTATCAGCATTGGTATTATTAATAATAATGTTCGGAAGCATCTAAAAAGTCTATTCTTATAGTTATATGCATTAATAAAATCAGAAAAAGAACCAGCCAACATTCTCAACCTGGTTGCCCCTACAATTGTGTACCAATAATTCATAAGGGAGTTCCAAAAGTTTGGAAGCCATTACTGGTAAAGGTCTATGGAGATTCTCAGTCATCCAGATCATGGTTGTCTCAAAGGTGCTTTTTCTAAAGGCAACTGGACTTTGTTTTACAACAAAGTTCAGTTGCCTTTTGAAAAAGCACCTTTGGGATTACTGGTAAAGATTACTGGTAAACTACAAAATGAGGATTACCCTTCCATCATTATAATAAATATTTTTAGATTAACTAAAATTAATGGATAATTTGTGGCAGAGTGCTGTTCCTCACTGTTCAACAATTATTGAACCTTAATCTAGAAAGAGGAGTATTTCTCTTTAATAATTTTTGGCATAACAACAAGAAATGAAATGTCGTAATCCAGAATAATGTTTCCTCCACTTCTGATCTCAAATCAAATGGCGATAACTCAAAAGTCGCTGTGAGCAAGTAGGGAGCTATATAAATGCTCTAAAATAAATAAATCTAAATACAATTAAAACTCTTGTTTCTATAAACTTAGTTGGGTGAAAAAGTACATCAGACAGCAACAGTTTTTGAACTAAGTTACCTCAAATGGGCTAACTCAGGGGTAGGCAACCTTGGCTCTTTTATGACTCGTGGACTTCAACTCCCAGAATTCCTGAGCCAGTTGAAGTCCACGAGTCATAAAAGAGCCAAGGTTGCCTACCTCTGGGCTAACTTATTCAATTAAACCAAAATCCAGGACTCATGACTCCAGAGAGTATGAAATTTGGAAAAGTTGTGGCTGCTTCAGTATCAGACCTCTACTGCAGTCATGTGGTCCTCATTTTCAACATTCTCGAACAGTTTCCCAGCTGCTCTTGCAATCCCTTACTCCCTCCTTCACTCAGCAGCAGCCACTTAGACGCAGGAAGGGAAGGGAAAGGACAGGGAAGGGAGGGGAGGGAACAACCCTGCACACAGTTCCCAGCTCAAATAGCTCCCACATGCCTTCTCCGACCTGTGCCACACCCCACACACATTCCCTGACCCAAGTAATAGTTTTGCATCACCCCCACACCCTCCCTGACTAGCACTGCCCCACAAACACTTGCCCCAAGCCAAGGGACAAGTGAGGTGCCAAGCAGCTCCAGAATTTCATGGCTTTTGTCATACCCTGGGAAGTTTTAGCAAGCACCAGCAAGCGTCCCTTCATCTAGCCCCACAAAACTCAGCCTGCTCCAGCAAGCAAGCCAAGTGCCAGAAAACATTCATTCACCCAGCTGCGTTCTCTCCCAGTTCCCCACATCAACCTTTTGCCTTTTTCGCCCAGGACTTTGCTGCCATTGCTGTCTCCTATTCAGACTTAGCTTCTCCAACAAATGCTTCCTACACATGCTTAAAGCTACATAGTCTTCGAACTTCCCACCCCATTTCCAAAGTGGCTAAAACTACTGTGCGGTCTTTGGAAACTTTCCAAAGACAATGCAGCTTATGAACATTCCAGTATGACATGGTCAAGACAGTCAAATGGCTTCATATAAATAATAACATATTTTTGCAGAACTGAAAAAAATATTATATAGATTTAGTTGAAATAATGAAGCAAATTTTGAATGCTTTTTGCATATGGTGTTTTATACCTATTTTTTTAAAGCTAACAAAACTTTTCATTATTAGAAGTAAAATACTAAAATCAATTGAAGTTATGTCTGAATAATACTGGAAATCACATAATAGATTGAAGATCTGATGTCACTTGAGATTTATGAATAAATTGCTTATAGAGGCAATGAAGAGTTATGTGGTCACTGCTTACTGAAATGTTTGTGTAAAACTCTGTATAAATATATAATGCATGTCAAGCCTTTCACCTCTGTATGTACATGTGTGTATGTATATACGGTATGTGTATACACACATACTGTACATATGCACACACATACATACATACATGTATGTGTGTGCAGTCTATTTAAAGACAATAAGAAATTATGCCAACAATACATGGAATGTAAGATAAGAGACTATTAACAATTCTTTAAGACTCTATAGTTTTCCTGCAATACTACTATATAACTACACTAAATAGCTTTCAATAATAAAAAGGAAAATTAATATATAATTGCATACAATTACAGAAGAAGTACAATAGACTTTGTACTTTTAGGTAAATTAACTTATAGTAAATGTTGTGCTTTTTAAAGGAATTTTAGTTAGCAAACTTGTGAAAGTGTAATAAAAATGCATTCAGATTATTGATAGGCAAAAATATTTTAAGCATGCTAAAACATAACTGAAACTACAGGCCTCCTATTTAAGAAACATGGATCATTAATGTCAAAGTCATATGTTAAATCTGGCATCTTGCCTAGGTATGTTCTATAAGAGTTTTGCCCCTTTGCAATGCTTGAATTGGCTTTGTGCACATATCAGGAAAGGAAGGAAGTAGACAGGATATTTGCCAGTGAGATCAGTTACATTAAACAAAAAATAAATATTCATCTATTGACTAAATACTTCTCTCACCCTTCTCTCCCTCTCTGAAAAAGGGAGATCCACTTAAAAAATAATTTTTTTAACCTCAGTCTCCAATTATGTCAATGTTATATTTTCAAATTTGAAAATAACTGTATTTTTAAGCAAATGATATTTTTGTTTGAAGAGTGTGATATGCATTAAAAAGATTTTAAAATTTATTTATTATTTTTATTTAACATTAGGAATCCCACCATTGCTATTTGGGCTCAATCCAAATAACATGAAAATTGTAGGCTTTCCATTGTCTATCCTTTCAAAAGGCAGTGTATACCAGCTACTGTATATTATTTTTTAAAGTCATTACACTTACCTTCACACTTCTGAGTTGCTTCATTCTGTTTATGACCAGCAGGGCATTTGCATTCATATGATCCGACTGCATTGATGCAAGTTCCCCCCTGACAGATTCCAGGGATAGCCTGACATTCGTCTATATCTGTAAATTAAGTAAGAAAAACTCTAAACATTTATCTTCCATTGTTTTTCAAAATAAGTCTTATCTGACAGCAAGACTTTCTAGGTCAGTGGTTCTCAACCTTTTTAATGCCGCGACCCCCAACCGGTCGTAAGTCGAGGACTAAACCGGTCGTAAGTCGAGGACTACCAAACCGGTCGTAAGTTGAGGACTTTCCCTGCCCGGGAGCGCCGCACATGCGTGGTTCCGCCCCCTGCGCCGGCCGAGGCATAGCTGGCAAGCGGCAGAGACGGAGCAGGCCGACCACCAGCTGGCCCAGCCCAAGGGAGGTAAGGCATCCGCCGGAAAAGGGGAAAAAAATGGCGGACAAAAAAAAAGGCGGACAGCCTTGCTTGGCGATCCCCGTGAAATGGTCGATCGACCCCAAATGGGGTCGCGACCCATAGGTTGAGAACCGCTGTTCTAGATAGAGGATTTTTCTGCTGGCAACAATTAGAATACAGAACTCAAACAGAAATTTCTGCAAAGGTCAATGGAAAATTTCTCCCGTTTTATGACCTGTAATCTCTAAATTCGGGGTAGAGCTGGGAAAATTGGATGAAGCCGAGTCTTTACTGGCCAGATGCTGTTCCTGACGCCACACGGAGTTTGCAGCAGATATTTTTTCTTTGTGCCCTGGGAGACAAACATCTGCCGCTACCTAGGATTGAACTCTCGACCTTCCAAGTGGGAGGCGAGGATTTTCACCACTAGGCCACCACATTGCCAAAGTTCTTAGAAAACATACCCTTGCAAGCTTTTTTTTTTTAGTTTTAAAAAATGCTATTTGTTTTAAATTTCTGTGCACATGTATCCTGAAATGTATATTTAGATTGATCCAATTCACTTTCACTCAGTTACTAAACTGAGTAAACACATTTATGTAAAATAATAATATAGAAATATTTTCAGAGACCCAGCAACCTGAAAGAAATGTACATTGTGAATAAAAAGAGTTTGGAACATCTAGCATAGCAATGAATACCAAGCTTTAGTTTTTAGTATAATTGCAGGAAGCGTTTATGTTTTACTGAATTTATTTAAAATACTTTAAGCCTCCATAATATATCATTTAGATTAAAATTGAGATAAAGCCATGTTCATATCCTGTTTTCTTAAGGCTTACCATTTTAATATATTTTCATTTTGGTGCACAGTCTAGGCTGTTTAAGATGCTTCAGAGTAGATCAATAAATATCCTTTCTAAGAAGAGAATTTTATACATGGAAGTGGTCTACAACAGAATTATCTGAAAAAGCTCAATGTCTCTTCAGTTGGTGAGTTAATATTTTATCATTTAGTAGTTGCAACAGTAATAATTTGTAAACATAGTTTCTACCATAAAATACAGTATATAGACATATTGCTAACAAAGTTTTCTGAAATGTCAGTAATATTAGTAATTTAATAATTAACAATGAAGCCATCAAGCACCTATGAACAGCCCCATTTTACTCTATTGTGTCTGAAAATTGAATGTTTCACATATTGTGCAATTTGTCAAAGTTGATATAGTGCAGTATGCTAGTATCAATACCATATTGGACCATTATTTCCTTGGATTGCTTTCAGTTGTTCTATATATCAACAAACTGGAAATAAGATAAAATCGTGAGCAAATTTCTATGATTCCAAAAATGCATGCTTGTTTATCATTCAAAAATTAACAAAGTGTTAAGTTGATTCACATGTATTAATAAATATCAGATAGTAAATGCATAAACATAATTTTCCTGCCACCTTCAAATTCAATGTTTTAATGGATAGAAAATCACTGAAATACATTCTATTTCAGGTAAAACAATCAATAGTGACACAGCATTAAACAACAAAATGGTAAGAAAGCAAGTGATGTTTGTGCATTTACTATAAAATATGATCCAGCCAAACTCGATCCTATCTGAAGCACAGTATTTGTAACCATTTCAATATTCCCAATAATCTTTTTTTTTTCATTTCTTAACTATGATCTGTTTTGGACTCATGCTTCAATGGGCACTTAATACATTTAGTTACTGACTATAAGGTCATTCTTTATCTGCCACTGTTATTGTTCAATTTAGCCAAGTGCGTCAGGAAAGCACTAACTAGTACTAACAATTTACAGATGTTTTTAAGTAGCAAATTAATGTGCAAACAGCAATATATGAATTCTCTAGTGACAATTACTTTACAAAGAAGCCTCTGTCTGACTCCCTCACAAGAAGCTGTTTCACAGTTGAATGAAATGAAGTTATTAAGTAATTAAAAGGAATTCTTGTACTTATGGCCTTGAAACAGAGAGCACCGCCCCCTATAGTCAGCAATGATTAGCAGAGTAAAATCTGCAAGGACCCCTTGTACTCACAGGAAACAAAAATATGCTAAGTTTCCTTGTCTCCTTGAAATAAAAATATTTCTGCATTGAAGAAATATTAATGATTCTCAGTCTATGACCAAATTATAAAAATAAAAAAATGTTTTTCTAAACGAGGAAAGGCAACTGGCTTGCATTATGTTAAGGCTGATCTATTGAAAAGAGATCAAGAAATTTTTTAAAAAGTTTTCCTATATTTTGACCTGAAGTTAGAAAATATCTTACTAGACATGGAGATAAACTAGGTCTGAAGTATATCTGCGTATATCAGACAGACTTACACAATGATATATTCACAATGGCTGTGACAGAAAAGCATTACCAGAAAATATAAATGAAAATCACATTTCCCCTTGTATAATTATCTCCGTCTATAGTCCTTTTATTAAATCTATTCTGATTTTCTCTCCACTAAAGCTGAACTTCTTGGCAACAAGACTGTAACCACTTTTATCTAATGTAAGACAGATGTCAAATTATTGTCCTATGGTTTTCTACCTTCCAAGGCTAATGATTGTTCAGTGCCAAATACAAACAAATTGTGGATTTTTTTTGTTTCTTTAATTCAATTTTATTTTTATTCTTACTTTATTCTTGCTACTTTATTTCCTTTTAAGGTCTGACTATTGCACTTTTGAGAGTGCTAATCTTGTGATTGTTATAAAAGAAAATGAAATATTTTCCATTTTTATAAATACAAGTAGCCCTCTGGCTATGACAGCAATTTGGACCAGGATTGCCATCACTTAGCAATGCGGTAGTAAAGGGCAATATCACATGACTGTATTGTTTAGCAACAGCAATCCCAAGCAGTTCTGGTTATCATTGTAGCAGCAAGATTCATGGGTCTTTAAGCAGGAAGAGGTGGGAGTTCCAGGTAAGGATTGTGGAGTTCAGGGGAGGGCGAGCTGCCATAGGGGGCAATTAGATTTCAGCTTTTTGTACTATCTTCTAGTCTAGAGATATCACATTTTCTTCTTATACCACTCAGGTTCAGTAATCTTCCTAACTGAACATTCTCTGTAATGATTGGATGCATGTTTCCATATTCTTGATTACTATCTATAGGCTTGGCTTATTTGGGACTGGATCTCAGACTAATTATAATCTGAGTACCAGTATATCAATTTTATGATCAACTGCAAAGTATGGCATTCTGTTCCTACTTATCATCAGCTCAATACATGTAATTTCTAGACTTAGTTTTTCCTAAAATACTCTGGTAGAGAGTAGTATCGTGTTTGCCACAATCAGATTATGTTAGAGAAACTAGCTTTAGGAGTCTGACAGATAAAATATTAGAATATTGATTAATAATGTACTTCTTAGTTAAATACAAAATCATTGATATAACCAAAAAGAAATGGCATTATTCAGTATTTCAGCAACATGGGCTATTACAGATTTTAAGAAATTTAAAAATGTACATCAAGACAAATACAAAAACAAAGAAAGAAAGCAAAATCAGGAACAGAATTCAATCCCTGAAAACTATTAGAGAAAGGAAACAATTCACATTTTAATTAAATAAATAAATGTCAAGGAGCAATTACTCCAGGATTCAAATTACATAGAATTATTCTAAATATGATACCCTCTTATGAAGCCTGATTATAAAACTTCTAGCTGTAGCTGAAAGACCTAATCAAAGCCCTACATTTGAAAGAAATACAGTACAAACAATATAAAAATGACATATAGAATCATGGAATAAGAGAACTGGAAGGGACCTTGGAGCTCATCTAGCCCAGCCCTCTGCTCAAAGAGGAGACCGTTACCAAATAATGGAATGACAGACTGGGAAGGGACCTTGGAGGTCATCTAGTCCAACCCTCTTCTCATGCAGGAGACCCTTACAAAATCATAGAATGACCACCACTGAATTGAATCCCACCACTGCCTTGAGTTATTATATTATATAGGTATAATATAGGTATAGGAATAATATATATAGGTATAATATAATATAACAATAATATAGATATAATATAGGTACTGAAGATTTTATGGTTCTGTTTCTAAGGACAGCTCCCAAGAAACAAGCTAACACAGCAGTCCCCAACCTTTCTGGCTCCAGGACTAGCTGCAGAGGCAGGGGCGAAGTTTTGCGTGTGCAACCTAATCCCACACATGCACAAATGAAGCTTCACACACTTGCCTGCCACTTGCGTGGCCCATTTCCAACATACACATTTAATTAAACACAAGGTAGTAATAATAATAATAATAATAATAATAATGATGATGATGATAATAATAGTAGTAGTAGTAGTAGTAGTAGTAGTAGTAGTAGTAGTAATAGTAATAATAGTAATAATTGAATTAAAACTTGGCATTTTCTCTCAAATACATTTTACTGCAAACAAAATTGCAAAACTAAAGTAATTTAGCTTCTAATGTGTATATTTTCCAAAACGCTTTTATTTGTTTTTATATGTTTAGGTTTGTTGGATCTCACTGTCTAAAGCAGGCATATCAAACTGCTGGCCCATGGGCCGGATGCGTCACGCCAAAACTGCGCCCACCCCATTGCCGGCAATGGGGGGAAAGTCACGAGACGTCATGCGACGTCACATGACGTCGCGAGTTTGACATGCCTGGCCTAAAGCATTTGAGACATATAACTATATTACACAAATAAGGGAGTTTTGTGTTGCTCTCTTCTTCTGTACCTCCACTGCCAACTAGGAACTGCTGAAATCAAGAAAGATTTAAAATCTTTAAAATCTTTTTACCATTTGTTATGACTTATTTGTGTAGAAATAAATATGTTTGCAGTTCTCCTTTCCAATTTGTTGAACATGGTCTTTACGTTCAATAATCATTAACCTTGTAACACTTTTATTATGATAATATTTTAAAATGAAAGAATGCTGTATAGTCATTCAGAATAGCAAAAGAAACCACAAATAATTGTTGTTTTTTTTGTACTAGGAGCTTCAAGTATGTTAAATTGTACAGTAATAGTAATGTTAAAGAACAGATTAAAAATATCCTGTCAAAACATAAAGCAAAAGAATATGCCATATTTTATATAGGAGTCAATTTGGTCTAGTATTAAGGCAGAAACTGAAAGGCTAGAAACTGAAAGACTGAGCTCTGGTCCTGCCTTAGGAATGAAAACCAGCTGCTTGACTTTGGGCCAGTCACTCTCCCTCAGCCCAACTCACCTCACAGGGTTGTTGTGGGGAAAATAGGAGGAGGAAGGATGTTAGAAATGTTTCCCCCCCCCCTTTGAGTCGGTGGTGGGATTCAGCCGGTTCGCACCATTTCAGCAGAACTGGTAGCTAATTTTTTGTTGCCCAGGCCCAGAATGGACTTACGGAAGTGGCATCCACACAGAGAACCGGTTGTTCACATATTTGAATCCCACCACTGCGTTGAGTTATTTATAAAAATAATAGAGGTATGATGTAAATAAATAAATATTCATCTACTACTAGTTCTAATCACTGCTAGTTAAGTCTGCCAAATATTATGCCATCCTGTGATAGTATCAACGATGCACTTAAAAGGAAATAACATCTGTCTTGTACTTCTTAGCCCTGTTAAGGCATATAAAAATAATAATAATTAGGGAGTTATGATTGCATAGTAAATGTTCACTAAGGAATCATCTTTTAATTTGCTCATCTATCTTACTTATTTAAGAGAACATGAACTACTCTGATAGAGTTGTAATGTTCTATTTCAAACTGCTTAAAAGAAAATAAAAACCTATTTTAAGTTCAAAATAGTTGCTCCAGTTTCCTAATTTTAGAAATTCAAAATAGAGTTGAAGCATATCCAAAATGATTGAGACAATCTATTTCAAATGGAAAAAGTTGGTTCAAACTCAAAAACATAGGTGAAACTTGAAATGGATCATTTGAATTTGAAACATTTTAACATCCCTAATAATTAATATCCAAGAAAACCGCACTTTTTAATGTAGAAATTGTACCATAATTAACAAATGCACAATACAGTTCTTTTTGCTTCATGTTTTCTTCGTAGTATGTGGATCTAATTTCATCCTTTCCCAAAGACATTAATTTCATTGTAACATAATGCAACCTACTAACTACTTGATACTTGCACAAATATTTGCTATTTTGAACATACAGTACATTGTACACGAAAGAATAAATTTCATCTGGCTTGAATAATTCATTCTAATATATTTCACAGCAGGGAAATATTTAATGTTAGTAAACTACTTTGCTCACCTTGACATGCTCCAGTGCGGATGTTTGGAATGAAACCACGACGACATGGTTGGGGTTGAGCAGGGCACATTTCACAAGGATGGCCCCACGCACGTCCAATAGTTGCACAACAAAGTGTCTTTGTGCAAACAATACCAGCTAGCTGACCTTGACACATCTGATTGTTGACTTGAATAAAACAAGGGCCTGTTCTATAATCTGGAAATTAAAAGGAAACAGTTTAATGCACAGGCAGTGTTCCTCCATCCCATCTGTTTAAACACACAAGAATTTTTCAATCTAGTTCTGTTATCTGATGCAATAATCTGTTCCCCATTAATGCTCTTGTCCCAATAAACCACTGATCTCTAAGGTCCAAGGGCATGGGGTTTTTAAATATTTTTTTTATAACCACCAAAAAATTAAACTGAAACTCTAGTTTTAGCATCCCTTGTCTATCTTTTCAAATAATAGAATTTAATAAAAAATCTCTACTATAAAATATCCTATTATGATAGACATTATACAACTTACAGTATGCCAAATTTCAGAATGTTGCTTTTTATTATTTTAATTTTCAGAAAATACACAAAAATGTAAGCAGATTAAAGATAATCCAGGTAAAGAAGGTATTTGAGAAAATGATCATGTGCAAAAAGTTATCACCTGAGGGAGAAAAATACAGTATAGCCATAATATTATTCAAATATTTGCAAGACCAGAAATTTAACAAATATCTTTACTTGTGTAATTAAAGAAAAAAAATTGTTTTACAATTATAATTAGATTATTTTAACCTTTAAAGAGTTAAATTCAGTTAATAACTTAACTGAAATACATTCTCCTCCATCATTAGATGACGACTGTATATATTTAAACCAACATGGATATATTTCCCAAGATCATATCTCCCATAATTAAGCTTATGATAAACTGAAGGTCACATTATCAGATTGGGTTATTCCATCTGAATTTCCCTTTTTGGTAGTTATTTATTTTATTGAATTATACCATTTGAATAATCTGCATTTATCTTTGAATGACTAGCTAAGTGTCAAGACCTGTAAAGTTCCATAGAGAGTCCTGGTAAGCTGAGGACGTGACTGTGATTTCCTAACATTATTCTCTTTAGCTTTTCATTTGAAAAACTTTTAATATTATACTGAAATATACATTTAAAAAAATAATATATTAAAGTTTTGTAAATGTAAAATTATGGAAAAAGATAGCAATGCAAGTTATAGCTGGGAACTAGTTAGTATACTAGTATACTAACAATTTATGTCATGGCCCCCTCAGAGTCTGGTTCAGAGGAGGAGGAGGAAGAGTTAGAGCTAGGACCATCCGACAGGGAAAGCACGCCAGGGGCTGAGGATGATGCTGTCCTGGGCCCCTCAGGCATTGGGGGGGGGAGGTGGTCCACCAGACAAAGAGCTACCTGCCTGCACAGTCACAGGGGAGGATCGGCTACTGACTGGCAGTTGTGCTGATAGGCAGCCAATCTTCTCTGATAAGGAATAGCTGTCTACTACACTTGATCCAAGGGCAAGGAGAGTAGAGCATAGGCAAGCCCAGAGAAAGACTGCAAGGCTACTCAGGAAGAGGTCGCCCCACCCCTCCCCACAAAGAACACCTGGAGGGGAGTAACTTAAGGAGAAGCTGTGGGGAGTTAGTCTTTGCCAGGAACAATTGTTTGCTTTAGCTTACATTCCCCTGGCTTTTACTCGTGCCTGTTGCTGTTTGCCTTGCCTTACTTCAGGGTTCCTCAACCTTAGCAACTTTAAGACTTTGCTGGCTGAGGAATTCTGGGAGTTGAAGTCCACAAGTCTTAAAGTTGCCAAGGTTAAGGAACCCTGCCTTACTTGGAAGATTGTTCTTCGGATTTTGTTTTGGCCTTCGCCCTTCTCTTGTGGCCTACATTTGGATTTTGCTTCACTGGGGCTTTGGAATTGCTTCTTTTCTGGGCCTGTTTTCTTGTCTTGAGGACTGCCCTTGTATTGTGCCTGGACCCTGCCTGGTGGATTGGATTTGAAACCCTGGACCTTGCCCTGTGAGCGTGCTCCTACTCTGTGGGCTTTCTTTGTACTATAGAGGCTGTTGTTTGCGGGACTGAGGATGGCTGTCTTCAGGATAGGGTGAGGGTGGAGCCTTACCGGTTATTAGAGGGCCATTGGCTAGAACACTGTTTAAGAGAAATAAAGGACTCTTTAGAGGCCTGCCTTGCCTGACCACCTGGGTCATAACAATTACTGACTTTTTAACTAGGTAGTGCTTTATTTAATGCAGCAGCTCTGGGTAGCACTCATCTGTATGTCTTATAACTTACTCTGCTGGTTATCCCTGGAATCTTTTAATTTAAGGAATATAAATTTTGTCCATATGTAAAATTAGGGGAAAGGAAGGGTTCTGACTGGATCTCTTTGTGTCCATCTGTCAAAATAAACAAACTATAAAAGCCAGAAGAGTTGAAAAAAAGGCTCCTCACAATACTGATCAATTCCAAGAGTCAATTCCAAGAGTCAATATATGCCAGTGATGGCGAACCTTTTAGAGACCGAGTGCCCCAAAACTGGCCCCGCCCTCGCTCCAAGAGTCAATTCCAAGAGTCAATTCCAAGAGTCAATTCCAAGGCTCCTCACAATACTGATCAATTCCAAGATCAATTCCAAGAGTCAATATATGCCAATACGCTCCAAGAGTCAATTCCAAGAGTCAATTCCAAGGCTCCTCACAATACTGATCAATTCCAAGGCTCCTCACAATACTGATCAATTCCAAGATCAATTCCAAGATCAATTCCAAGGCTCCTCACAATACTGATCAATTCCAAGATCAATTCCAAGAGTCAATATATGCCAGTGATGGCGAACCTTTTAGAGACCGAGTACCCCAAAACTGGCCCCGCCCTCGCTCCACCCCCCATCCCCTGCCCCGCCTGCCCGCAGGGCCACTCACCGCCTCCAGGGCCCACCGCAGATAGCCCAGGCAGTCCAGCAGCACTATGGCGGTCACGCCCTCTGCCCGTGCCCTGCAGCATCAACTGTGCACAATGGGGTGTGAGGGCAGAGTCTTGTCTATGCTGCCTGGCTGCCATGTCCTTGGCTGCGCTGCTCCGCATGGGCCACGCTCAGGGGCGATTGCTGGAGAGGAGGGGGTCATGGGGGGAGGCGAGGCTGGGGCAACGGCATGTGTGCCCACAGAGAGGGCTCCGAGTGCCGCCTCTGGCACCCGTGCCATAGGTTCGCCACCACTGATATATGCCAATAAAATAAAATAATAAAATAAAATAATTATATATTCTAGGTTGTGACATTGTCACAGAAGAATAATTATTTTACTCATTAAACTATGTTCATATACGGTTCTTAAATATTTATTGTGAAATACAGTTTCCTTCATTTTGTTAAAATATATGTTATTTTGATAAAATATATGTTATGAATAGAAAAGTCAATAAAGGGTACTGAATATCTGTATTTTAAATTCAGAAATTCCTATTTATTTAAAAATGATACACAGAAACACACATATAGAGAGTATATATGCTCACAAGCATTGGGATTTCAAGCATTGGGAAAAGAAAATGATAAAGAAATATTTCACAACCTTTAATGATTGTATTGGGGTGTATATGGTGACTTATACATAACTGGGTTGAATTATATTGATGCATAAGCAGCCAATATAAGTAAATGCAAGAAAAGGCTGACATTTGGACATGGTCTTCCTTACTGAAAACAAGCCAAGAAACAACTAAAGAAAAAGCTTTTGAGGGTGACATCCCACTTGTGGAATGTCTTCCCTAAAGAAATGTATCTGGCATCTCTATTACAATCTTTCTGGCACCCATTTAAAACCTTCATTTTCCCAAGCAAATTAAAATAAAAAAAAGTCATTACCTTTTGTGTTTTCTCATGATTTAAATGAAATTTATATCTTATAAACTTATATTTATAAGATACATTTTGTTTAAAAAGAATATTTTGTTCTAGGTTTTATTCTAAAGAAGCAGAATGTATGTCTTTTACGCCAAGAATAGAGCTAACCACAGCCAACAGTTAAATAAGGAATATAAATATAAATATTTATATAGAAAATTGGACTTGGGAAAGTCTCCCCAAAACTACTTTCTTGTAGCATGACAAATATACTGTAATAAGTTCAATGATTAGTTACTTTTCACCCTTTTGTCTTCAGCCTGGAAACCAAGATAGTTGTATAAGCAGTCATGCTTTATCATTCTAGAGCAGGGTTGTCAAAATTGCCAGCCCGTGGGCCAGTTGCATCATATGGAGGGTGCGCCCACCCCAGCTCTGGCAATGCAAAAAAGTGTTGCAACACATCACATGATGTGGCGAGTTTGACACCCGTGTTCTAGAGGCTATTGTGAAGGAAAACTACATATATTATGTATTAAGTAAAATACTTAATTCCAATTACCTTATAAAATACATAAGTATGATATTTAAATATAACATAAAAATGTTGATATGATAAATTATTTAAATTTACAATTCTGAATATAGATATTAAGAAGTAAGCAGAGCATCTTATAAAATATACAAAATTATACTGTACACATTTCAATGTACATTACTGAATTATAATAATATAGTTAAGTTACCAGCATAGATTTACTGTCTGTTTAGCACTTAGCTTCTCTGCTTTGTATAATCTAAAACAGTGGCCTCTAGCATTTAGGGTACCATGCACCAGTTCTGTGGAGGGTGGTTTTTCCACAGACCGGGAGGGTATGGTTTCACGAACTGCCTGGATCCCACACATGTATGGACAGGGCTTCACTCACTTGCACGGACTGGTTCCTGGGGGCCACGGACTGGTGCCAGTCCACAGCCTGGGGGTTGGGGATCCTTCATCTAAAACATACATATTTCTTTAGGAAAATGCACAAATTATTGTTGAACTTCATTACCAGACATACCATTCTTCTTTGCAACTTAGTAAGACTGCAAACTTAATTCAAAGATATGCTGGTTGTAAAAAATTAGAGTGAGGACAAAATTCCCTTCTGTCAGCATGTATCAATTTTCCTTTTTTTAACTCCAAAGATATATCAATGAAGAGTTCTGCTAGCATAGATATGAGCCTCCCAATCTTCTGTTGACTTTACAGTAACACGATTGGAACGAATGTAGCTGGGTTTTTCTTTGGTTTGGTTTGGTATGGTGTAGGATTTTTAACACTGACTATGGGAATGAGGACCAACTGTAAGGGAAACCATTGCCATGACTGACTTTAAGAAACCTCTCAACCGTCTAGAATGCCACACAGCCTTTTTTTTCTACTTGAACTATGACCCCCCTGAAATAACCCAGTTTGGAGTATAATAAAACTTCATTTAGCCTCCTGTTGGCTTAACAAGCCCCAGGGCAGGGTAGAACAAAGCAGTGAAAGGAAGGAAAAATTTATTAAGAAAGACAAATAAGTGACTGTATAATCCACTCAAAAATATGTTCAAAAGTATATCATAATTGTTTCTTTTAACACTGAACCAAAAGGAATTGGTGGAATGCATATATAGATAAACTGGGGAGAGATAATCAAGAAGGATACTACAATGTCTAGTATTTGGCTTTTAACAGTCAACGTTTTTATTAATTACAGGTAATCTTTGACATACTGACTGTTCAAAGTTACAATGGCACTGAAAAAAGTGACATGACTGCTTTTCACACTTACAAAAATTGTAGCATTCCCATAGTCATGTGATCAAAATTTAGATACTGGGCAATTGAGTCATATTTATGATGGTTACAGTGTCCTGGGATCATGTGATCAGCTTTTGCAACCTTCTGACAAGCAAAATCAATGGGGAAGCCAGATTCGCTTACCAACTGTGTTACTAAATTAATAGTTGCAGTGATTCACTTAATATTGTGACAAGAAAAGTAGTGAAATGAGGCAAAATTCACTTAACAAATGTCTCACCTAGCAACATAAATTTTGGGCTCAATTGTGGTTGTAAGTTGAGGACTACCTATATTTAGATGAGATAATAACAGTTACAAAATTTGCAGTCAACACAATATTGGGTGTTAGATGGTAGAAGACAAATAGAATTCAATAACCAATTTTGAAGAGAAATAGACTGAAAACAATAGAATGAAATTTGGCAGTCAACACTATAGAATTATCCATGTAAAAAACAGAAATCAAATAATAAGTATGGAAAAGATAATAGCTAGCTTTACAAAAGTTATTTTGAAAAAGATCACAGGACAATAATTGATTATGAATCTAAGTATAAACCAACAGACCACAAAAAAAAGGCAAATGCCGATTTTCAGAGAATTCTAATTTGCATCTACTTTATTCTATATTGATAAGACTCTACATTAAATCATCAGTTTCAACACCATATTATTAAGGAGAATTCAGACAAACTGAAACTATTTCAGAAAATGGGAATAGAAACCATCAGGAGACCATACATTAAATTCTATTAAGAGAAATTGATGGACTAGGAATATTTATGATGCATGATAACACTATTCAAGGAATGTCACAAAAAGCTAAGACCTCTTCTTTATTATCCTGGAATATAATATGTGAAATTGCAGACTTAACTTACTGCAAAAAAGCAGATTCTATTTGAACAGGATGAAAGAGAAATTCAGCACTGGAATCAATTATACAAAAAATGAGTTGTGCTCCCCCGAAAGATATGTTCAAGCATAAGTAATCATTTGTCAGAAATTCTTTAGTTTGTATTGCTGCATGGGACACAATACACTGAACCATAAACTAACAAAGCACGAAGAGTTCTGATTCAGTTATACCTTGACTAATACAAGTAGTCTTCAACTTAGGATCACAATTGAGCCCAAAATTTTTGCTGCTAAATGATACATTTGCTAGGTGAATTTTGCCCCATTTTATGACTTTTCTTGCTACACATGTTAAGTGAATCACTGCAGTTGTTAAGTTAGTAACACGGTTATTAAGTGAATTGGCTTCCCCATTGACTTTGCTTATCAGAAGGTTGCAAAAAGTCATCCCACCTCTTATTTAGTTCCGCATACCTCTTATTTAGCACTAATGGGAAACATTAGTGGGAAACATTCAGATTTTGGGTACATTTCATTTTAATGTTGTAGTTCTTACCTCTTTCACATTGAGGGCCTGTGAATCCATATACACATGCACAACGATTGGGCCCAATGCAGCGACCTCCATTCTGGCATCCATGTTCACAAACAGCTGTGTTTTGAATAAAAATATTAAAATGAATTAGGAAAATTTGCCTGTATTAATTAATTAATTACCCAAATCATACAATTTTAAGCCTGGGACAAGGCTTAAATTCTTTGCCAAGTCTTTAATTCTTGAACATTATCAGATTGGGAGCCATCTAGGTCTCTGGCCAGTTCTCATTCCAGAGGAAAGGTGCTGCACCGGAAAAGGCATGATTCCTGGATCCCACTAGATGACACAGCTTCACTGATGAGTCTAAAATATGCTACAATACCATGTACTTGCCGTCAACCAATACAAGTGTCATTTGCAGTACATGCTGACAAGACATAATTGAAAATGTAAAATGGATTTTTGAGGAACACCTAAATTAAGGTTCCTCCTCATGACCACTTTAAAATGACTGGCAGATGTTATTGTCCCTACAATTTTAATTTGGGACAAATGAAAAAAAGCAACTAGTGGATTACCCCGTCTTTCTGTCCACTCACACCAAGCATCACTTCCTTAAGGGAAAAGTAATCACCAACTGCTCTCATGAACCTAAAGGATGGGTGGGTGAAACTCAATTGCTTTAATGATAAGTTTAGTTATATAAATTGTGCCTAAAGCTTTGGAAGAATAAAGATCATACATTACTGCTGGAGAAATTAGAAGGTATTTGAATGTTATATAGATATTGAAAACCTAAACACAAAACATGAACACAATGCCTTAAAAACATTTAGGTAAATGGCATTACTTACTCAAAGTTTAGTTATATAGTCAAAGAAAAGTGGAGGAAGACTGTTTTAAACCAATCATTAATTGTAGCAAAAAAGAAAGAAATATTCTGTTTTCAATACTAAAATGTCAAAATACAGTTTCACTGAAAATCATATTCAAATATATCACTTTTTAAATATAAAATATTAGAAATTACATGTGCCAAATACAGCCTGAAAGAATTTTCTGTAATAATGAATTTCACACATCTGTCTGAAGTAAGAATTTCTACCATACAACGATTAAAGCACCATTTGTTATGCTTTCTATATTCCCTAAGATTTTTGACCTGGCCTCTAAGAAAACAAGCATTTATATTCAGCAGAACCCACTCCCTTCTCTTGCAGATCTAGACATCTCAGGGGACATGACATTTGTTTGCAGTGCCACAGTGTCTGGGAAAAGAAGCGGGGGGGGGGGCATAGATCCAGATAGTTAGAGGAGACAAGTAATACTCAAAGTGAGCGAACTAAGGAAAAGATTGTGTTGAAAAAATCAAAATGCGAAAAAAGCAACATAATTCATCTACAATGTTGAAAAAATAATGGCAACAGCTTAAAGACATTTCTATCAAGGTTCATATAATGTTATGAGGCTACAAAACCTTGAGATTACATATCTCATCTGTAAAAAAGTGCTTGTAAAAAGAAAGTGAAAAATTACACTGTCCATATTATATACCTGGATAGTTGCGATTATATATTTTATTTCATGTTTTTGTATCAGGGTGATTGCATTATTTTAATGCTTCATTTATTCAACTGGTTATCTACTAATAAAATAAATATATTTTATGGCTTACTGTATTATTATTGTGTTAGTATATTTACTTTTCTATAATATGCTAATCAGCCTGAAAAACTGTTGTCATGAATAGATAAAAATATAATAAATACCTTTCTTCTCTTACTGGCACAATGTAGTCATTAATAACTAAGATAAAATCTTCCAAAGCAAGAGTGAGTAAGAGTAATGACTATACAGAAGTCTAAAAACATAGACTTACAAACAATCCAACATATACCACTGGTCAACACATTTTCATTCACAGACATTCACCATAGTCTGGATAATTGTGTGAATTTTAAAAAATACAAGTTTTGAACAGGCATCATTTTTCCCCCCGTGTGTATATGTTAGCTTATTTAAACTTGAATAACAGAACTAGACAAATTTGTATTACTTCTATAGTAGACATGTATTCTAAGAGATTTTGAAAAAAGGTAATACTTTCTTATAAATTCAAAATTAATCCTTCACTGCAGTATGCACAATTGCTCTAATATTATACAAAGTATGAAAAAATGATGCATACATAATAGTTGTATTTCACTGTTATAAAACTACATTTATAAGAAGTTTATAATTTCCTTAAGAAAAAGCTAAAGGTTATTTGGTTTGAGTATGTTAGGCAATTTTCCCAACTAAAGGCTCCAACAGCATATGGTCAACTATTGAAAGCATTCATTCTCTTGTGCCAAAAGAAAAAAGATAAGTAGAAAGAGGGGAAAAAACATTTAAGCATGGAAAAGAGTCAAGAAACAATGTAGCAGAAACTATATATGTATGTATGTATGCATTTATGCATGTGTATATATATATATATATATATATATACCAAAGACTCACATATATATATATATATATATATATATCAGGTTTTCCTTACTTTATTAGATCTCATTAAATGAAATATTGCTGTTCAGTAATTACCATGCAATTATTTTTTTATATACAGTAGGACAGTGAACTATGGCAGCAACTGAACAAATAACTATATTGTCATAATCTAAAGATTATCTCTCTAAATACTTGTGAACTGAAATTCAATGACTCCAAATGGGACTTGCCACAAAACGTTACAGTGTAATTTTATCCTGATCTCATTTTAATCAGTCATGCCCTTCTTCAGGATATTCCATTCTCCTGTACCACCACTGTAACAAAATTTTAAAGATAAACCATATTAATTCCTAACTGAGTTCTCTTCCCTTAAATAATCTACTTGGATTCTACAAAGCTCATAAGAGCTGGCTCTGTTCCCAGGCCTGGGTTAATGTGTTTGTTAATGCATATGTGGGGCCCTTGTTGCATTGTATGGTTTATTGTTCTGGTTGATTTAGTCTGGGCTGTCTTTTTATGTATGTTTTTACTGTTGACATTTTGAGAATTCTGCAGGCTGTCCTGTCTAATAGTGTAGAACAGAGATCTCAACCTTTCTCAGTTGGCGGACCGGAGGGAAAGGGAGGGGGAAGCAATTTACGTGCACATGTGTGCACGCACAAAACAGGGCCACGAGCATGTGCGATACAAACGGGGCGATGCTATCACCCACGTGACACTCGCTAGCACTGCCTCGTTTTTGCCACACGGGTGCTAGCACTGCTCAGTTTCCGCCAGACAGCGCCCCATTTTCATAGCAGCGGCTGTGCTAGCACAAGTGGGGATGAGTGCATGCGCACATGCACACATTGGTCAGCCTGTTCCGTGGCCCAGTAGCCAGCAGGCCACGGCCTGGTAGTGGCCCACGGCTCTCAGGTTGGGAACCCCTGGTGTAGAAGGTGATAATCAATTTGGTAAATTAAATTAATGACAACAAGCTTGTTAAGACCATATTTGTGCAATTTTGGTACATTTTTTTATTAAAAAAGAAATGGTACTCCAACTCAAAAGAGCAAAAATAGGATACAACAGTAGGAAACTGAATGTAATGAAATGCAGTTTAATTAGAACCAAGGAACTAGTAGAGAAACATAGCATGAAACAACTAAAATAAAAGAAGTGGGAATACATATATTATGCCTAGGAAAAGGAAAGAAAGAAGGCTAAAAAAAAAGCAATGGATACGAAAAACATGATACGGGATCTTCTGAGACAAGAAATAGATAACTGTATTTTCCTTGCATCTTATATTTCCATTCTTATAACTAAAGAACAAATTACCAACAACAATGAACCATTAATTGGTATTTTTTTTCAGAAACAAAATCAAGCCTTTGATTTAAAAACATTTGGGGTATTTTAATACAATTCACAGGCCAAATCTTCCCCAAAGGAAAAGCCTATTACATAGACTTTACAATGCCATATTGATAGAACCAAACCATCAGGGCTTTTTTCCAAGATCATTATTCTGAAAAACACCAGAATGTGAACTTGATAACAAGCAAGGCTGTAGTATTTGAAGTGAACAGCAGAACTTAAGATGAAATATATACATAAAATGCAAAATATATAACTATGTTATTGTTTTTACATATAAACTAAAAAAGTCTGCTTATTCAAGAACTCCTTGAAATGTAAAAATTCATTCAAAACGTTCCTGCTTACTGACAGTACTTTACTTCACAAATCTAATGGTGCTTAAACTAATTGATACTGTTACTACTTCTTATAGTTACATCTCTGTACTATCTTTATAATAATTACATCTCTCTAAGAGAAATATGTCTTCCCTGTAACTACCCTATCTACATAATGCATGTTTTGTTCATGACCATCACTGAACCTAATAGGCAAAAAATGCACTGAATTCACTGTCCCCATATCCAGATGAAATAGCAGCTATTGAAAAATATCAAAGACTATGCAACACCTATGCTACATCCATGACAGGAATCATTCAAATAAATCATGGCTGCCAAACATCTACTTACGTTGCCCACAGTAAGTGCCAATATATCCTTTTTGACATTGGCATTGGTCATCTAGACAGGTACCACCATTCAGACATCTGATGTTACACTGTTGTACTACAGCAAAATGCAGACAATTAGTTGTGCTTAAATTGTCATTTTATATTAGGTAGCAAAAAAGACACAAATATTGGGAAATAATGCAATAATATAGACATAACATACCAGTAAAATACATCACATAAAATATATAACATATAACAGTAATGGCGAACCTTTTAGAGACCGAGTGCCCAAACTGCAACCCAAAACCCACTTATGTATCATCGGGTGCCGGGTGGGCGTGGCTGCGGTGGTAATGGCAGATTGGGTGGGACTAAAAAGTTCAATTAATCAATTCCAACTTTGAGAGATCTTTTTTTTCCTGCGAGAAATTGAAATTGATTGATTGATTGAACCTTTTTTTTTTTTTTTTTGCACACGGAGGCCTAAAGCTAAAAGGTTTTATAAAACCCAGCTGAAGGCCTAGGATTGGGGCTACGGCGTGCGTGCCCAGAGAGAGGGTTCTGCGTGCCACCTGTGGCACATGTGCCACAGGTTTGCCACCACGGACATATAACATTCTCCGAGCTTGTGGGTTGGTTTCTGAACTTTTCATTACCAGGCTAAGTAACATATATAACAATTTTAGCATTTTGTGGCTTAAGGTTTCACTTTAAACTGATTTATGGTTCTAATATAAGTGACCCATAGTTAGTAATTAAAGCACCAGGCTAGAAATCAGGAGACTGTGAGTTCCATTCCTGCCTTAGCCATGAAAGCCTGCTGGATGACATTGGGCCAATCATTGTAATCTACCTCAAAGGGTTGATGTTGTGAGGAAAATAGGAAGAAGAAGGAGCATTATGTATGTTCTCTGTCTTGAGTTATTTATAAAAACAATAGAGGCAGGATATAAACAAATAAATGCTTCTTTATAAATGCTACTGTACATATAATTTTGAGGACTATCTAATTCAGATTTTTGTGCAGTTTTCTATTAATGTCTTTTTCTTACTCTTACTGTTTCCTATTAATGTTGCTTTCTTACTCTTCATCAGCGCACACATAATTCTTCATCTATTTCCTTGCTCCTCAAATGCTATTTCAATGTTTCATTTCTTTGCCAAAATAATACATAGGGTGTCTGAATTCTGCATTAATAAACTCAACCCAACAATAATTTTTCTTCTATATTTAGAATGTGGTTTCCTCCACTAATTCTTTTTGATTACATTACCTTGATCTCTAATAATCTCTAACTGGTTCTCTATTAATGCTTTCAAGCTTTTTTAAATGTTTATTACACTCATTTTATTTTAAAACTCTATCATTCTGATTTCAATTAATTTCCACTTTAATTGTTCAATTATTCCACATCTAAACTCATGTTATTGCTATTTTAAATATACAAGTTACATATTTTAGTTATTTACCACATAACATAGTTGATATCTTATTTTTCAATCAAAAAAACTTTTCCCACAATGTGGCTCATAAAAATTATAACCCAATATAAAAATCCAGTAAAACAATGGGATACTTTAAATGATCACAAGCAAAAACGAATGGGTTCAAAACAACAGGAAGGGAAACTATGTGGATATTTTACTTCACTTTGCTTTAAGAAGGGGGAAGGGGATATAGTCCTTCATGAAATAACTTCAAAAGGGTGCTTCATACAAGCTATCAAAACAAAGTATGTGTTTGAAACTTTGCACAGCCCTAATATTTAGGTAGTTAAACATAGGCAAAGTCAACAATGATTGCAATGGTTCTTTACGATCAAACATACAGATCTGGAAAGAAACTAGGTAATCAGTGAAATTAGAATTAGAATCATGTTCATCCATGTTTACATTCTATAATTCAGATTGTTTGCTTCTGACTTGGTGAATCCACAATCTCAATCATAACTTAATGATTACCATATAGTACAAACATAGCTATTTAAAATTTTCAATAAACTAATATTATATCCTGACCCAGCATGATCTGTGAACAACTGTAGGGTAGGAAATCCCTAGACAGATACCAGAACTTTCAAAAGGCAATAACTGGATTTACTATTTACCTATTTTTAAACCTAATTCCACAGTGAATGCAATCCCTCTAACCTTAAACAGAAAACATCTTTATTACATATAATAAAATGAAAAGGATGCTATTCAAGCCTTACTAGATTTTGGTCCACAGCTTGGCAATATCTGTCCATTGGAGCAAGTGCACATATTAGGACGAGAACAAAATCCATCACCACAACTATTTCTACAAATTGCTGTGGAAAAAATAATATATTATTATGACTTGCAACATTACATTGTTAAACAAACAATAAAAACATATGTTTAAAAGTTTAAAAACTATCGGATGTAGGCATTTCCCTATATATTGAAACTAGATCAGGAATTTTTATTATTTTGCTTTCATTTATCATTTATTTATTGTTCCAACAAACAGAATGACAACAACAGTCTTCATTCAATATCTTTACAATGTTCACTGTGGGACAAAGCACACAAAATTCTACTCCCTGCAAATTATATATACGTATTACAAAGTCAGTATAGAAAACAGATCATCTATATCAGGGGTGTCAAACTGCCGGCCCACGGGCCGTACGCATCACATGGAAGCCGTGCCCACCCCATTGCCAGCAATGGCAAAACTGGCCCAATAGGTTGTGCAACATCACGTGATGTCACGGGTTTGACATGCCTGATCTATATGGATAAAAATGGGGTATCAGGTTTTTACTCTCAAGATAATATGTGAGTGGGAGATATGGGGATCAGTAGGAAAGGGATGTCTACAAATAAGCCATCCTAAGATGCTACTGTAATCACTGATAAGCAATGGAAGTTTCCCACTGAACACTTTCATGAGGAAAATATTTCTATCAGAAGTATGATATGAAAGGGGAAGTCAACTGAAACCTGTTCCCTTTTATCTGAATTCTAGTTCTATTTCTCCACACAAACTCATGATTGTTAATTTTATATATTTATTAATACATTCTTGCATTTAGCATATCTGTATTGGCCTTGCAAGATTAAACTACTGTTGATGCTATCTTTAAAAAAAATCTTCAGTAATGTTATTTTCCTAACCAAAGCATGTTAATAGCTTTTTTTCGAGATTTTTAGACATTATTTAGAAGCACTAATTGCAAATGTATCTCTAACTTCATTTCAAAGAACAATATTTTTTTCTTGGTTAACAGACTACACTTACGAAAATAGCATAATAAGATTTTATTTTGCTTTAACTGCCCCTTTGCAAACTATAAACTATCAGAGCTAAAGTGATATGTAAATGAATGCATATTACAGATACATCTTTTCTTTCATGGTTGATTTCTTTTTACTTCAAAAGAAGTTTATTAGTTCAAAGGGGTTTATTTCAAAATACCCCTATGACAGGAATATTTTAACTAAATGCTATGGGCAATGAGAGCCACATTAAGCAGAGTAATTTTATCATTCCTGGTATTTGGAATATTATTTAATATTATTACAGGTAGTTCCTGACTTATGAACACAATTGGGACTAGAATTTTAGTCACTAAATGATGCAGTCAGTAAAAAAGTATCATGTGATCAGGCCCAACTTTATGACCACTTTTACCACAGTTGCTAAATGAATAATGTGTTTATGAAGTGATTCATATGGTCTGACTTCCCCAATTGACTTTGCCATAAGCTGACTGAGAAAGTCACAAATCCTGATCACATTACCATAAAATGCTGCAACAGTCATGTGAGTTGGTTTCCAAGTGTCCTAATCATGATAACGTGACTACAAGTGTAATACAGCAGTTGTAATTTCAAAAACTTAAAAAAAACATTTTCCTAGTCTGTCCTAATTTTGAACCATTGTTAAATGAACAATCATAAGTGTAATCTGTAAGTGTAACCTATCATCTTAAATATCTGATTAATATTTAATATTAAGATCAAAAAAGTATTATGATAAACAAAAAAGTGAAACATGAAGTACGCCAAAATGATATGTGTAGATTTCCTTATAACTGAGAATACAATTTCTTCTGTAACAGTTGTCTAATTGGATGGAACATCAAAATGTGAGATATAATAAATTAACATGATTCTGCCTACAAAGGGTGTAATCCTAGGGTTTCTCAAGAGTTGTTAGAAATATTTAAACTGAGTATCATTTTTGTATCTTGGTGAAAGAAATGACTGGCTGGGAAGATCAAAGTTATAATCCACCCTTATTGATTTATTTGAGACCATGTCTTATCCCTCTGTCCAACTAATCTCACAAGATTACTAGAGGATAAAATACAATGAGCTTCTGAAAGAAAGGATACACACACACATCTAAGTCAATTTGTTTCATTTAAAACATTTTAAAAAGCAGAGCAACCACATATTCATAATTGTGTATGTGTGTGTGTGTGTGCAATTTATTTATTTATCACATTAAAAGTGCCCATCTCCCTCACAGAGGGACTCTGGGCAGTGTTAAGAGGAATTCTGGGCAAAAATGAATGATTTAAATCTGTTTCTGTACCTGGAATATAATGTTCACAGGCATAAGTATGATCATAGATAGTTTTCTTGGCAACCATCAGGTTCCATGTCCCTCATTTTTCTATTTTTATTTTTTTAACTGGGAGGCTCCCAATGCATCCTTTATCTCAATTCTGGGTGGGATCCAGAAGTATTGTTAGAAAAAACAATTGGTGTTCAATACTTGGTGTTCAATACTTTCTTCTGAATGCCTATGGAGATTCTCAGTCATCCAGGTCATGGGTGTCCCAAAGGTGCTTTTTCAAGAGGCAACTGGACTTTCTTTGTTTTTTCCTTGACAATATTTTGCTTCTCATCCAATAACCTTCTTGGATGAGAAGAGAAATGTCTTCAGGGAAAAAACAAAGAAAGTCCGGTTGCCTCTTGAAAAAGCACCTTTGGGACACTTTCTTTTGAAGCATACCCAGATGCCTGAAAGGGAATGAGAAGCAAAAGTGGGGTGATAGGATGCAAGCTGATGAACATAACTTAAGATGGAGAGTACTTTTAGTAGAATAGAGGCTGTTATGTGGCATTGCACTGGGCTGTATCTTTTTCTTTCCTGGTGATGGATCTCTGTTATTGATTGACATTGTAAGGTACTTTGAGATTTATGCACAACTGTACATGTGTGATTGTTAAGCTATTTGATTTAGGATAATATTAGGATGTGATAGTATATGAGTTTAGTATTGGCTTCATGAACTGTTATTATATTGGGTGAAATAACTGGTAGGCTTCTCTCATTACCACAATAACAATGAACCATAAAAGCAGGCTAATTATACAATGTGTTAATTGGGTAGCAGACAAATGCCTTTGGGATTTTTATTTCTTAAACAGAAAATAGCACCATATAAAAAAGACTAATCTTCTCAAACTCTACATTTCTGAAAATTCAATTTTGTATATGAGGTGAGAAGTTTCACTGGAACCAAAGGAGTCTTTAATTTTAATCTCCATGAGAGGAGTAAAGGTAAAGGCTGTGGGAAAAACTTCTCCCACCCATGCAGTGGCCTTGATCTAAGTCAATTCATTGCATTTAATTTTTTTTTAAAGGAAAGCAACCACATATTCATAATTTAATATAGTCCATTGTTTGCCCTTCAGGCATAAACCCTATTGTATTTAATAAGAATTACTTGTAAATAAACATACATAGGATTTCACTGCTAATATATAAATCCAATTTACCCCAAAATACATATAATTTCTATATCATCTATAGATAGTAGATAAACAGAAAAATCAGAATCAAATATCAAAAATATTCTGTCCTGGTTTTGCCCAAGACTTTTTATTATTTTTCAAATGTTCTAGAGCTGTAAGCTGATCTCAAGCATAGATTGTAGAGGTCTGGCTTGGTGAATCCCAGAGTGCAACTAAATTCCATTTGCCAAGTCAAATCAGTAATCACATTTCTCAGCACAAAGATAACATTGGCCAAACAAGATTCTTAAGCTATTAAAATACTTATCACATCTAATCTAAATCTATTATAACTTAAGTACAACAAAAATACAAATATCCTAAATAATTCATATTATTTGTGTACTATATTATTTATGAATTTCAAAAATGAATTCTTATCAAATTATTTTTGAACTATAGTACACAATGCCATTGTTTTTGTTTTGAAAACTGTCAAGCAATTGCTATTTCTTAAATTCCAAGCTGAAGCCTAAAATTAGCAATTCAACTATTGTAGTGTAAATACATATTTTTGTTTAAATGTTAAGTATCTGTTAAAAATCAATATTGCAAATTCTGAAGCCAGAACACTTACGAACAATACACTGATTTCCCCCAGGGAGTGTTTTCCATCCAGGGCAACAGTAGGAGTGGAACCTGGAGCCACATACATTTGGTCTGTTGCATGCAAACAAATACATACACAAAAACACAGGTCATTTGGAACAGCCATTCAAATATTTGCTCCATAGAATAAAAAAATATTGGCAGACAAATTCAGATAGGTTTTATATTTCTAAACAAAAGTTTCCTACAAATCCTTTAAAAAATTAATAACCTGCTTCTTAGCACAAAAAGAGGGAGATGAGCAATAAGCTTTCTATTTTAAACCACACTGTGAGTAGTGAACAATGGACAAATTCATGCATACTTTATTTTTATTAAGAGTGAAATATCAAAGACATCTGACATAACATTTCTATCTTAAGAGAAAGAATTACAGCGTATATCAAACTGGTATACAAGTATGCCATTGCAAAGACTTAAAATGGAAAGGATTTGTCACATATTTTATACAGTGCCACTTCTGTTTCTCCCCTTAAATTTGAAAAAGCATTTATCTTTATCAGGTTTTAACTGAAATGATTCTTCAACTTTACTATACCAAAACCCTTTAAAACTTGATAATGTCTGCTACATTTGGCACTGTTCTTAGTATCACATTATATATGTTTACTTTTCTAAAAGCCAATTGTTTTTTCAACTGGCTTTTAGAAAACTAACTGATGATGTTACCTAGTTTGGGTAATGAAACATCTGCAAGAAAACAACTAACTCAGAGAGCACCAAGGACCCCTCAGTTGTTTTTTTTGTTTTATTTTTACATCAGACCCTCAAGACATGTGAAAACTTTCCCACAAGGACCAACATTAACATTTAAAAGAATAACAACTATAAATATGGGAAAGGACATATTGCAGTGTTCAAAAGGAAAACTGAGAAACCTGCCAAGTATTTAGACTAAAAGTTTATAAAGGGAATATGTTAAGGTATGATGCATTTTACCTGAGAAAACAAGTAAAACAAAGAAGTGGCTGTTGCAACATAATTAAAATGAACACAACAAGCAAATAGGAATAAAGTAAAGGAAATTATATATGGAGCTTCCAATTTAAATTTGTGAGCAAGCTTTCTACAAGTACTTTTAAAACAAGGAATTGTGCTTATTGTATGTAATTCTATGGAACAGTGAAATAAGGAGAAAATAATTATTTTTAATGATTAGGATTCTTTCATAAAATCACGGAAATACTGAGTGAAGTGTTGCCAATGTTATGGCAATACTTCAAACAATTAACTGTTTAAAACCTAAGTGCAATTCAGTTTTGGATATACAGATTTGTTAGAGAAGCAAGGTGGAAGTGTATTTTAAACAATGTGGTTTTGCCCTAGAATTGATGCCACCTGTGGGTAAATGAATTGCTTGGACACAGGCTGCTGAGGTAGTTAGGTACATAGACATTCCTGCATCATGCAGGCCTGGCCATGATCTTGAAAAGGTTAATAATCAAATCAAAGAAAGACAATGGGTTTAGAAGTAAAAAAATAATTTGGCAGAAAGATGACATCAAAACAGGCTTATGAACTGTAAGTCTGTAACTACTGATAGATTTCAGGACTGCTTCACTCTTTAAGGATAAAATAAGAATAAAATAGTATGCTGTGTCTTTAAAGGCTACAACCTTGAAATGGCATTTTAGCCAATGAGGATATACCTGAAACACAAAGTTGGTCAATGGCCAACAGGCTACATGACTAAAAAATGAATATGGTCATTGTATTTAAAGCAGGAGAAATACCTGCCCAGAGCTATGTAAAGTTAAAGAAAAGTTTTGGAAAAGTGGAAATAGATGACTGAAACGAGACTGAGTAAACTGGAATTCTGTAATTTTTAGAGGAAGTAAAGTTTGCAAGCCATAAGGGACTAATTTTGATATTAGTATTGTGGACTAACGCTTAAAAGTGGAAGATGGCTAGTTGTAGGTGTTACAGAAACAGAAAAACGACAGCATCATTTTATCCGTGAGTTACCTTCAGATATTAAGGCCTGTATAAGTTCATATCTTGAACTTGAAAGGTGTGATTAACTACATACTTTCTGTTGTGTAATTATATACATGTGGCCTATTTTCCCCCAAACAGCAGCTGAGGAAGAAAACCTGTGGCTGAATTGTACCACTTCAGACAACCCTCTCAGAGATGCAGGGTCAAATTAAGTGGAAGGGGGAGAGCAGAGCCCAGAAATTCCTGCGCGTAGTAGCAGAGCCAAGAAGGGCAGGTAGACTCCAGCCCTAGTCCCCTCACCTTTGATCCGGGGATTAGGCGATTTAATCCCTAGGAAGGCACATTACGGCATGCCATCCCCTACCTGCCGTCTGTAGTGATCCCATCCAGGCGTAGGTTTATACTACCTCCACTGCTGTCTGCAGGAAACAGGCCTACCTGTGGCGGACGTGGGTGCGAGCAAAGGTTGCTTTCCTACCCCCTGAGCATGTCCTGCTGGCCTCTCCTGCGGACGCGGTTGGCGGCGGCGGCGGCCGCTGTGCCTCCTTCCAGGCTCCCCAAGATAGAGTAGCGGCTAGCATCTGCACCCTCCGCCGGACGACCGTGCCGCTGCTGCCCAGCGGATCCATGCGCCCAGAGCGCCACACACCCCAGCCAAAGGAAATAAGGCTGCAGGCAGAGCGCCCGCCGTCTCCCCATCGCGGACGGCAGGAATTCCTGAGGGGTCGGCACCGAGTCCGACTTGTTCCTAGGGGAGCGCCCGCTGCTGCTCCTCCTCGCCCGCTGCCCTCCTCGGCGAGGCGAGCGTCGCTCCTGCTGCTGGCCCTCGCCCCCTCAGCGAGACGCCTTGCGGGTCGCGGCGGTCAAGGGCACTGCTGCTCGCCTTCCACGAAGCATCTTCCTCCCCCCCCCTTCCCCCTTTTTCCTCCTAAGCAACTGGAAAGCGCGCAAATTTCACACACACGTACATACACACACACACAGAGACACACACAAACCCCTGGTCAGAGCAACAAGTGAGGCTTCCAGTTTCTTTCGGGGCGGGGGAGGCCGGGGGGGAAAAAAAGGAAAAGGGGAGGAAGGCGGGAAACGTTTTCTGACCCAGTCTTTTTACACTAACTGAAAAGAATCCTCAGTGGACCGAAATTATTCTTTGCAAAAAAAAAGGAAAAGAAAAAGGGGGGGTTTTCTGCCTCAAAAAATAAAACGTGAAGTTATTCACGACGACAGCGCACACAAGCCAACTTCATCCGGACGGCGAACCCGGGGACAAAATAAAAATAAAAAATAAAAAAATGCAGGAACTCCTGCTACGCCGCTGCCGCCCGAGTAGCTAGGAAAGGCGGCGATCCGGTGCACGGCAAGAAGAATGAGGGGAGGAGGAAAGCGCGGCTCGGAGAGGGAGGAAAGAAAGGGCAAGGGGGAGGCGATTGCCTGCCTGTCAGTGGAGAGCAGCGGCGGCGCGCCAAACACGTGGGAAAGGAGCCCACTGGAGGCGGGCTGGAGGCTGCGCCAAGGGGGCGCCGAGAGTCGGGTGGGGGCGGAGGGTGGAAAAGGAAAGCCCGCGCGGCGCTGGTAATTGGCTGAAGGAGAGGGAAAGTTTTGGAAACCGAGATGAGAGAGAAGGAGCTGGGGCCGGGAAGTTGGAAGGGGGCGCTGGAGAAAACTGACGGAGGAGGAGGAGGAGGTGGGCGCCAGTCAATCAGTCCCTTCGTCCCTGAGTACCACACCGTTGTGCCTTCTCCGGTGGCTCTTGGCATCCTCTTTGCACCCAACGAAGGGGTTAAAAGGAGGCTTTTACCCGCCGCCGCCGTTTTCTATCGCAATTCTTTTATACTGCCATAAAAACAAAAAGACGGATCGGATTGATTGCCAGTAAAACTTTGCGTTGCCCTTCGCTTACTGAGTTTGAAAGAAATATATTTAGGCTACACAAGTAGCTTGTGGTAGTTTGTCAGCGTCTATGTGTCTGACGTGCACAAGGGGATTTCATAACAATTCTTCAATAACCTGACAGGCTCTTGTAAAAGGAACCATACTGAGCATGAAACCAATCCATAGCCACTGATGTCAATAAGAACATTGGGTCAGCTTTGATCAGTGAAACAAGGGAGGATTTATTATTATTTTTTTGCAATGTTTCAGAAATATCCATGTCCAGAACTCCGTTGTTGGCAAAATGATCTTGGAAACGGAACAATAATTCCTTGAAAAAGAAGGGTATGAAAATATTTGGCCACTCCCTTTGGTCCAACTTAAAGTTCAAGAAAGCAATATAGGAGGAGGGTGTTATTCCCCCCCAAAATGGATGTTTTGCTCTTGCAGCAGAGATAGCTTCCAGAATGCTTTTGAGGAATCTTTTCTCAGCAGTCCTGCTCTAGCCCTGACCAATCTCTGGATTATAAAATATCTAGATCAGTTTAAGCTATTATTCCTAAGCATCCCCTTCTCTTTAACAGAGCAAAAGTGTTTAACAGGAAGCAGAGAACAACGCAGCAGAAAATAAAAGGCTGAACAAAAATTAGAAACTTTCAGGATGGGTCAAATCAAAATGAGGTCTTTTGTAAGACTTCTCTGAAGTCTCATGGCAATGGATGCAATGAAGAGAGATGAGCTCTCTCTTTGCACCATTGCCAGCAACATTTTTCCATTCTGAATAGAATTTATTTCTCATGCCATTTATACAATTTAGTGCTTCCATCCTCTTGAATTCTAGATAGTTTAGAGATATTAAAAGTTATAACAATAGAATATTTTAAAATTCTAGCAATAAGGGGATAAAATAATACAAAAACACAAATAGGTTATTGTAGCTCTACAGTCATCTGAAGCCTTCTGGAAAAAACAAGCTTTTATTTCTTCTGGAAGGAGAGAGAAATAAATACAGGCTATTTTCATCTTGTTTTCTCGAGAAGGTGGACAAAGCATGTGGAGAGAAGCAACATCTGCTCGCTCAACTTTTCTTCTCCAGATGATTACATTAGCTAGGCTGGGACTGGCCTCATATATTATGACTTCTGATTTGCTAGAGTTAAAGATTGGGACTATTGCAACAGGTGGGGAGCCTCAGCAATCAGCTATCTGAAATTAATTTAGGACGCAACCAACACCTGTAGACATGGGTGTGTGTGTTAAATGATGAGGAATCCAATTCTAGCAGATTATTCTGTTTTAGGATGCATTGAGAGTTTCAGAAAACCAGATAGAAGCACTTCCCTCAAGAAGAAAAGGCATGTAAACCCCGCCAAGTAGCTCTTCCTGCACCCATTGCTACTGCAGTTCCTTTATGGTTGCTGCCTGAACTTCTGCCACTCCTCACAGAACGACTCAGTTCCTCCAGCATTATCAGGACTTGGACTGGATGGGAAGGATGCAATCCTACTAGTTCTCCTGGACCTCTTAGGGGTCTGTTTGTTTGTTTATCACATTTTGGAACTGCCCATTTCCCTCAACGATGATTCCTAATAAGGAATTACTGCATCTTAAAATATATTTATTGGGAGGATTCCATAAGCTGGTTGGTTTATAAAAATGCTACAAATATAGACATCACTTTTGAAGAAGTCCAACAGTGCCTACTGGAATTTATAGAATATCCAAAATTACTTTTCATAGTATGACCTAACAACCTTAGCTGATCTTTGGAATGGAAACAAGAAAGAAAGATATATCTGGTTACCGTGCCATGATTAAAGTTCCCTTAGTATTTGACTGTTAGTTATTCTTATTCTATACTTACGATTATGGTTAGCTGTGATTATATATATATATACATACACACACACACATACATACATACATACATACATACATACATACATACATACATGTCTCTGTTTTTTCTTTCCTGCCATCCTTTTACTTTAAAGTCACCAATACCATTTATGGGAGAAGGGGCCAAAATCAGGGAAGAAAGCAATAAAATGTTATATTACACAATATTGAGTACAGCCATTGGAGGAAGGCTTTTCCATTTAATCTACAGCTGTCTTAAATGAAAAAAGTGTCTATGTGCCAAGCAACGCACACTGAATCTATTACCCCGTGGATATGTTAAAAGCAATGTCATGAAACAGATGAAATGAAACCAAAATAGAATGACAAATTCATATAAGCAGGGAACAAGAGAGCAAAGCAAAAGTTTTAACAGAACACTCGTAAATAAGAAAAAATAATCAGAAATAAGAAAAAAAATCAGAAAAAAAATCAATAAGGAAAAATATGGGAATGCCAGAAACATTCCAGAAAAATGACAGTATATAACAAAAGCACCAACTTTAATGGCAAAAGTAGACAGAGATTGATCAAGAGATAGATAATGTCTCAAATACCCATCCTGTGGAAGGCATACTACGAAAGTTATACAAAAAAAGCGAAGTAAACATCCATAGTTTGGTTTGGGAAAAATAAAAACCATGCACAGCCAACTGTCATTACTGCATAGACTACGACCAATCACTGAAGAGAAAGACCCAAAAAACTCAATAAACAGGTTCATTTTTTGTAAAATAATAATAATAATAATATAAATTCCTTGAAGTAAATGTAGCTCCCAAAATAATTAAAATTAAAGAAAATATTTCATAAAATTCTATAATAAAAATACAAAATATAAAATAGTGTTAAAACATTCAAATTAAAACTGAAGTCAGTAGAATTAACCTCAAAAGCTATGGAACTTTTATCATTATTGTCTATATAGAAATACCAACTATATAGTTAACTTTTAGAAGTAATTGGCTATATTTGGAATAATATGTTGAAATAGAAAGCTAATAAAAATTGCTAATAGAAAAAATGTGATCTGTTTAGGTGTTTTTTAAATGTCTATGTAAGAAAAATTATTTACATCATTTAAATACATAATTTTAGCTGCCCTATGAGCATTCTAGTCTGATAGACCTTTTTGTCTTTGTAGATTAAACTTTTATGGGTGTTGGTCCAAAAATATCATTTTACTGCTGTAGAATAGAAAATTAAAAACCCAAAATATAGCATGTTCTAGGGTCTGTCACATTAAAAAAAATCCTAGATCTAAAAGATGCTACAAATACTTGCACTCTGGTATCACACTAAAACCACTACAGATTCTACAAAAGGAATCACGGTATACTGAATTAAGATTTTTAAATGTCAGGTAAAATTTTTAAATTGCCATTTTTTCACTTTACAGCAAATCTATGTAGACCTTAGAAATAAAGGAAAATAACAAAGGATCAATGGGTCAGTTATTTCTTCCCCACCACTACCATAAATCATGCAAGTGCCATTTTGGGATGTATTAGCAGGAGCGTTGAGTTCACCTCAAAAGAAGTGATGTCCCAATCTGTTTTGTCTTAGCCAAGCCAAGTTTGATTCTTGGGTCCAGCTCTGCAATCTAAAAATGGTATTGAGAAATAAAGAGACAAGAGAACTGCAAATGAAAAACAGCTGAAACAGAAGAGTCTGATCAGCTTACAATAGCAACCTTCAAATAATGAAGGAGCAGCCATATAGAGAGAAAGTAAAGATATAATTGGTTATCTGCAGGGCAGTTCAGAACCAACATGCTAAAACTGTGGAGAATCAGATTCAGGTTACATATTAGGAGGAATTGCTCTCTACTGTGGTAAACAATGTCAATAAGTGAAATAAGATTTTTGAGACTGAATAGCCATTTGGTGAAATGCTTTAGCATATCCCTCCCTGGACAGATTTCC